AGGGAGGAAGCATTAAAGAACTAGAGGAAAGTTGTGTGTTTCATCGTTGCTACACTGCACCCTGACTGGCTCATCTCCTCCCCGTGACCTTTCTGTAAGGGGATGTCCATTTGCCCACAGATGGATTTTGGGTCTCCACTACACACTCACCCTCATTCACAATGATAATGACTTTTTGTTCTTTGATTGATCCTATTGACACCACATGATCATACAGGCTGGTGTGTTTCTTCCATGTGGGCTTTGTTGCTTCTCAACTAGATGGCCACTTGTTTATCGTCAAGCCTTTAAGGCCCCAGACACTATATCGTTTGATATGTGGGCACCATCAACTTTCTGTCACCACATTTGCTTATGCACCCGCTTTGTCTTCAGCGATTGTGTCGGTAACGTGGGCATCATGGAGTGCCAGTTTAACAGAATAAAGTATTCTTCCATTGAAGGAGTACTTGAGTAGAGGCCCAATGTCCATCTGCTACCTTTATACTAAACCTATAAATATATGCACATAGATCTATTTCCCCATCGTCATATATAAATACATTTACATATGAATATACCTGTATTTACACCTCTATAAATGCCCTTTGCCTATTAGTTCTTTCCTCTACTTCCTTTGACTTTCCTCTTGTCCCACTATCATGCTCAGTCTTCATTTGGGTTTCAGTAATTCCTCTAGGTTACATTGCCCTTGATCAAGCCCTACCAGGCCTCCTACACCCTCCTCGACATCGATTTTGGATCACTTGTTCCCTTGTCCCTGGGGTTGTTAACACCCACTTCCTTTCCCCCGCCTCCCCCTCTCCCATGCCCCCAAACCTGGAACCATCTGTCCTGTTGTTTTCTCCTTCAGCTCATTTATCCCGCTTACCTTATCTAGATAGACCTGCAGAGATAAAAACATGCACATGAAAAAACAAGACAGAACAAAATAAAACAACAAAAGAAAATTGTTTTGTTTTCTTTTGTTGCTTTGTTTTGCATCCATATTTTCAAAGGTGACTTCCGTTATTTAAACTCATGAAAAGGTGAAGCACATTCACTAAATGTCTTCAGAGCCACATGTGGACTAGCTTTGGACCACACAACTGACTAGCCACGCTGACAAAACTAAGGAAAGTCAGCCAATGAAAATCTGTTACACACACACACAGATGGAGCTATAATTAAAAATATGTTTAACAGAATATATATATATATATATATATATATATATATATATATATACATATACATTTAAAGTATGTATTTGTTGGTCTCAGGTTATCTGAGGCAACCTGTCATTTTGATGGAGTTTTGTGAAAGCATTCTATGCTACAACATTTTCATTTGGAATATAGCAATTTCCTCTTTCCAGTGGAAGGCTAGGAATTGCTTAATTCCTATAGGCCATCTCTGGCTTTCCTGTTTCCCTTTCATTTCCATGTTGGACCTCCGGACCTGGGGAGAGAATCAAGCAGATTAGTACTTGTAATAACAATAAAGCAGCAGATGTTAACCAGGTATGTACAAAATCTTTGTATAGTTCGTGGCAACCCTATGAGGCAGGAATGGTGAAGACACCGATATTCCAAGAAGTTAAA